TCACATAAAATGCAGTCTTTTATGATTAGATTCTTTCATTTAGCGTAAGATATCCTAGGTTCGTCCATGTTGTAGCACATAGCAGTATCTCATTTCTTTTTTCATGGCCAAGTAGTATCCCGGCACATGGATAGACAGCCTTTTATTCATTCATCAGTTGATGGACATTTGGGTTGTTTCCATCTTTTGGCTTCTATAAATAATGCTGCCATAAACATCCAAGGAACACACAAGTTCCTGCTCAGACATATTTGCTCATGTCTCTTGCATGAGTACCTAGAAGAGGAAGTGCTGGGTCCTAGGGTAATTGAGGAACTATCAAGGTTTTCCAAAGTGGTTGTACCATTTCCATTCCCACCAGCAGCATATCAGGTTCCAATTTGTCCACCTCCTCATCACCCTGTGCTATCATTACACTTTTCAACCCAAGTTCACCTAGTGGGTGTGGACTAACAGCACCGGACTGTGGTTGGATTTGCGTTTCCCTGATGACCCATGATGCCGAACATTTTTTTCAGTTTCTCATTGGCCATTTGTATATATGTTGTTGTTCAATCACTAAGTCGTGTCCAACTTTTTGTGACCCCATGGACTGTAGCCCACCAAACTCCTCTGTTTATAGAATTCTCCAGGCAAGAATACAGGAATGGGTTGCCATTTCCTCCTCCAGGGGATCTTCCCAATCCAGGGACTGAACCTGGGTCAGCTGTGTTGCAGGTAGATTCTTTACCATCTGAACCACCAAGAAGATCCCCTAATTGGATGGTTTGTCTTTTGATTGTTGAGTATGAGAGTTCTTATACTTGCTGGAAGCAGGAGAAAGGGACGACAAAGGATGAGATTGCTGGATGGCATCACCAACTCTATGGACATAAGTCTGAGCAAGCTCTGGGAGTTGGTGATGGACAGGGAAGCCTGGCGTGCTGCAGTCAATGGGGTCACAAAGAGTCAGATACAACTGAGTGACTGAACTGAACTGACTGATAAGAATTCCTTATATATATTCTGAATAAAGTCAATTTCCAGATAAACGATTTGCAAGTATTCTCACACTTAGAATAATCTACAGCAGACAGGTTCCCAGATCAGAAAGACTGGCTTGTGGATAGAAGATCCATCACAGTCACATACAAAAGAACTGGCAGCAAATACCTGTTTCTACTCAAGTGTTTTTATTTTAACATGCATCTGTATTTGGCAGGCCTCATGAGGTATGTTTAGAAAATAAAGCTCACTGTCAGAGTTGGTATAATTTTTTTGGAGACTAAAGCTGGCCATAGCTAGTACATTTTTTAAAATATGCATGTCCTTTTCTTGGCAATATCCTTACCAGGAATTTAGCACTTGGATGTACTCTTAAAATGCACCAATACTCACATGTAAGGATGTTCACTGACATATTTTGGGTAATAACAAAAACCAGGACACAGTCAAAGCGCTTATCACCGAGTAGCTCGGGAGTCAATGTCTGTGCACAGTGAAATACTATGCGGGTTCTGAAAGGATGAAGCAGCGCTCACTAAAACCAGAATAAGGTATATGTTGCTATGGAAAGATCTCCAATTTATATCCTTACAGGGAAAGAACAGCATGGTGTAGAATAATGTGAGTACTTTGCTCCATTTTGTGGAAATCTTACAAATACTTGAATAGATATCTATGTGGGTATCCCTTTTTATCCTGGAAGAAATCATAAACCTTGTCTTCTAGTTACCTTTGGCAAGAGATTATAGGGGCAAAAAGGAGGAAAAGAGGCTTTCACATCTTATCTTTCCCTCTGGATAACTTTAGGATGTCATGATCCTAGACTTACTTTTTTTTAATGCCAAAAGGTTTATCTGGATGGAGGAAGAAATGGCAACTACTCCCATATTCTTGCCTGGAGAATCCCATGGACAGAGGAGCCTGGTGGGCTATAGTCCATAGGTCCATAGGGTCGCAAAGAGTACAACTGAGCAACCAAGACGCTTACCTGGATGGTGAGATTCGGGCCATTTCTGGTTGTTTTCTTTGTTCTTAACTGTATTCATTTTAAATTTCTAGTTAAATGTTATAAAGAAAGCTTATGAAATCAAAGTGTGTATCTTCAGTGCTCGAGCTCATGAAGTGAAATTCCCAGTTTTCTCAGTCACCTCACGGCTATCTATGCCAACTTACCCAATCTACCCAAGTCAAAACAGAGCATGTGGGTCACTATCAGAAGCCTTGGAAGGGAGAAGGCCTTCCATCACAGATGTTCAAAGACATGGGAGCATGAGGTGCCTAAAGGTGACCTCATTCGACATCCTTGTTGCTCAGAGTGTGATCTGGGCCGGCGGCACAGGCATCTCTCAGGCTCTAAGTTGGAAATACAGCACCTCAGCCCCCACTCAGATCTGATTCTACAGGACTACAGGATTCCCAAGAGATTCACTAGCAGATTCAAGCCTAAAAGCCCTGGACGAGCTCAGAGCTTGTCACCCGGAGCTGAATGCTGCAGTCACTGGTGATGTTCTTTAAGACTATCCAGGCAAGATGGGTCCCACCACCAGCACAAGGAACCTGCATCTCTGGGTGAGCCCTGCACAGGTGATTCTAATATGTAGGTATTGATTCCCCAGAACAGCCAACATCTTCCAATACACCTCTAACATGACTTTGGGGATAAGCACTCATTTATAGAGTGCTGTCTACCGCTGGTCCCTAGGCTAAATGTTTTACACACATTGATCACCTCCTTTTAATCTCCACAATCCTGTAAGCTTGGAATCAGCATCTTCATCTCACAGACGAGGAAACAGAACCTTAAGAGTTTAAGGAACCTGTCTGGCCTCACATAGCTGGTAAGGGGCAGAGGGCAGGTTCAAAGCCAAGGTCTCTAATTTATGTGTACCCTGAATATTCACTGGGAAGACTGATGCTGAAGCTGAAGCTCCAATACTTTGGCCACCTGATGCAAAGAGCCAACTGATTGGAAAAGACCCTGATGTTAGAAAAGATTAAAGGCAAGAGGGGAAGGTGGTGGCAGAGGATGAGATGGTTGGATGGCATTATTGACTCAATGGACATGAATCTGAGCAAACTCTGGGAGATACTGAAGGACAGGGAAGCCTAGCATGCTGCAGTCCATGGGGTCACAAAGAGTCAGACACAACTGAGCCACTGAACAACAACAACACTGTAACATTGTTAATTCTCTGCTCTGCCTCTTACTAAAATGTGACCTTGGCGATCAAGAAGTATGTCCATCAATATATATGCTGGATAATGCTGAAGAATAGCAAGGTCATCATTAGCTCAAAGTACTGAGTAAAAGAAAATGTGTGAGTGAGACACAGCTTGGGACCCTGGAGCTGACAGCACTGTGACCCCACCTCCCTGGGGACAGCATGGGGAGGAGTTGGTGCTGACTAATGTCTGACCTGAAAGCCTGGCCTCAGGTCATCATCATGCAGATGGTCCACCGACAATCCACCGGATCACACCTGCGCCCCAAAAGTTAGGGACCAGCACTGCTCATGCCAACATCTCATACATTACACTGAGTGTGTGCAGTGCCCCAGACCCCCTGTGGGTCATCAGAGACCAGAACAGGAGAAAGATGGTTCGGCTAAATAACACTGGAGTCCCTCCAGCCCACTTATAGGGTCTGTTTCAGCCACAAGGCCTAGCCTCTCCAGCTAGCAGATGTTTGCACAGGCTTCTAGAAGGTGTAAGATGCCCCTGCGAGCCTGGACAAAGGTGATCATTCTGGTTCCTTAGCACCAAACTACAACCCAGATCATCTACCCAACAGCAGCTTCACGACCCTCTTCCATCTGCTCCAACACACACCTCACGCCCTCGCCCACAAAAACCCACGAGAGCTCAGTGAGTTACTCTGATGTTTATTTTAATGCATCTTAGTCCACACAGTTGGTATAAAATCAGAAAAAGCAAAGCAAAAAAGAGGGAAAAAACAAGGTCTGGAGTCTTGGCATCAGAAGGGCCCCGTATATACATCTACAGGTGGTGGCCAGTACGAGTCATTGCCAGACAGTCCTTGGAGGCAGGGGACAGTCTAGACTCCGCTGCACCCTGGGATCCCGCCGTCCCGGGGGTCTAGAAGCTTGTCCGGATGCTCCGACCATAAGGAGATGTGGGAGGGATAAAGGCGGTGCGTAGTTATGTATTACAGTAATAATAGCAGCCTAGCCAGGTACAAAAGCGGTTATAAACCATTTATATTACACAGAATTATTCAGGTCTCCGTTCGACTTTATGTTGTAAAATTGTTAACTGAATTTCCAGTGAGGCGTTTAGATGATTAGTGATCGTAAGGAATGGTAAATACATAGCACCACTTCGTAGGTTTGTTGTCACCGATTTCTAACCTAGACGCGTGACTGGGACACCTCGCCCTCCCCAGGGCAAGGATTCCAAGGCCACAAGCCACGATCCTCCGAGGGCTCCAGTTTGGGGGTTTTGCTGAATGCAGGTAAGGCTGCACACAGAGGCATGGGCAGCACATGTCTGTGTCACACAGCGGGCCACCCACAGTTAAAGGCTTTGGGCCATTCAGGGTTTCTACCCACACTCTGGTTTCCTAAATGAGGTGGAGTGGGAGGGAGGTAACTTCTTTCAGATGAAAGGGAAGGGGCATTGATGGGCTTACTTTCTTTCTGGGCAAAACAAACAAAGAAAAATGAAAAAAAAAAAACTGAGCTTGATTATATGGTTAGGATGTCAAGTTCCTTAGCTACTTTAAGGTTCAACCCAAGGCTGATGGTCAACACGTAAAGCAAACAATACTATGTACATATATGTAAAAAGTGTTATAAATAGGTTTTATAAACCGTCGATATTATATACATCTTCAATCAACACTAACCACCCCCCCGCCCCCCACACTGCTTTCTGTTTGGTTTGGTTTGAGTTTGGGTTTTTTGGCTAGCTCGTTTCTTTGTTTGTTTTCCTGGCTTCTGGTTTGCTTCCTCCCTCCCCACATGAGCTCAGAGCCTCGGCCGTCCCATCCCCGGGCCTCATTCACGCTTCCGCAAGATCACATAGATGACACCGCTGAGAAGCGCCAGGGGGAAGGCCACCCAGGCCAGGATGTAGGCGAAGCCGTAGGAGTTGTCCGAGGTGGAATGCCACTCCGGGTGCCGGACTGTGTAGATGGACGCCGCACTCATCACGCACAGACCTGGGAAGGAGGGGGGACCAGTTAGGAGCGGGAGGGGTCACGGGGCAGGGACCCTGCGCCACCCCCAACCCAGACTCCCCAAGACCCCGGGCACCTCCCCCACCCACTCTGCTCCTCCCCCAGACTCCAGCTCACCTCACACTTGCACACACACACGCGCACACACACACACATACACACACACACCACGGCACCCCTCTCTTTTTCTTAGGGAGATGGATGTAGGCTGCAGGGAGGGAAGGCAAGTCCATCTCAGGCAGGAATCTGCCACCAGACCCAGAACTGCGAGGAGGAACAGGAAGATACAGGAACCAGGCAATAGTCTCTCTCTGCGTCCAGTCCGCCTGACCCAGGTCACAGGCCCCTCAGCCTCCCTCCTGCCGCATCTCCCTTAACTGTCACCCATGGCCAGTCAACATGAGGGCACCAGCGAGAATTCAGGTGGCAAGAGATGCCCGTCCATCTCTTTGCAAAGCTGGCTGGCTGTGGAGCCCCTAGAAGCTGGGAAGCACTCGACAGACGGGTGGGAGCAGTCTCTGAAACCACGGAAAGCGACACTTTATCATTATCTGAGTGGGACTCACGCCAAGCGCAGGGCAGAAGGCTGTGCTGACCCCCTTGGCAGGGTCACTACATCAGAGACAGGGCAACGACGCCCGTGAGCACCGCTAGGCAGACAGAGGAACATGTGGGGAGGAACAGGGTGGTGGGGGGAGGAACGCAAGAGGAAGGACACAGCCAAGAGAGGAGGCCGTCACGGACAAGCTTCATGGCGCTGGGTCCCTTTCGACTCCCCATGGTCCCCCAAGGTTGGTCTGCAGCCCAGATGAAGGCAAGAAGGTCTCAGATGGGCAGGCTGGTCAGGCCACCCCTGTTTCATTGACCATGCAGCCTCTGGGGTGGAAGGGACAAGAAAAACCTCCACCTGGGACCTCACACAGCAGGCAAGTTCCAGCGTGACGGTCCCTGCCCACGAGGACGGTCAGCATCCCTGCGGGGAGGGGTCCAGTGAGGTCAGCGCCCCAGCCCCAGCAGCACAAAGGCCACTCTGTCCCCTCCTGAACACAGGGGCTTTGACAGGCTCTGAGTGACTCTATTATGAGTCCAGCAAGCATGTGGGATGCCTGTGGGTCCGGGGCCCCCTAGGCCGGACCACCTACATCTAACCTCACTGCTATTCGGGCTATTTCACTGGACACTGTGGCTCTGTCTGAACAAAGTGCAGAGGTGGGAATGTGTCACGTTCAGCGCCCCGATAAGACTGTCCTTCTGCAAGTCTGAGAGAGGAGACTCCCACTGCATTGCCCCCCCGCCCCTTGAGAGAGCCACACAGCAGGCCTGGGACCCCAGGGGGGTCAGCTCCAGGACCTTCTACCTCCTGAAAGCCCGGGAGATGCAAAGACAGCTGAGCCCATGGGGATGTCATAGCTGGTGAACTGTCATGGAGGGGAACTGCAGTGTCGACCTGCTGGAGACACACCGTATTTGCCTTGAGGTCTATGGCTCACCTCAACAGTGTGCTAATTCACTGTCTGACCTCCTAATGAGGGCAGAGCTCTCAAAGGGGAGGCCTGACCAAGCAGAGGGAGGTTTAAACAGAGCATCTGAAAGGTAGGATGGTGCCCACCCCCTTGGCAGGGCTTCCGGATGGGGCCCATGTCCACCCAGCATGGAGAAATGCCATGACACCTGTGTGGACCAGTTGGGCCCAGAACTCCCCAGCAAACAGAAAACAGCAAAGGGAAAACACTCCATCTGTGACCTGGGGGGAAGAGGGGTAAGAGAAACAGGACGCACAAGTGCAGTGACTGAGTCGATGGCTTAATTATATGACCTACGCCCTGGGAGAATCTCAGAAGTAAAGGAATTTGTGCTTCGCTTCAAGAAGCCATAAGTTTATGCACTTGCAAAGCCAACAAGAAGAGACACACTTGTTAATTATCGTTGTCGGGAGACTGATGTTTTAGGGAATATATCATTACGAGGCTGTCTGTGTGCAAAGCAACAGACATGCCCAGGAATACAGAGCAGGCAGTGCCATACATGAATCCCAAAAAGACAAACACTTCCCCCGTAAGGGGACTGTGGCTCGCGCTCTCAGCCACCAGTAGGTGGTGATGCATTTATGAAGGTTCCCGTGGAATAGATTAGCCGCTGTCCCTCCTTCCACTCTCAGCCTCCGAGTGACCCCTGCAGCCTCACACATCACCCCCCAGCCTTACTAGATGCCCATCTTGGCCCGGCCAGGATGACAGCTGGGATGAATCACCCAGAACCAGCATTTCTAAACGTGGTCTCCGAATTCAAACCACTCAGAACAGAAACGGCCCTGGGTTTTTATTCCTCCCGCAGCTTTTTATTCTAAATGCCCTTTTGTTGCTGTTCAGTAGCTAAGTTGTGTCCGACTCTTTGCGACCCCTTGGACTATAGTCTGCCAGGCACCCCTGCCCGTGGGATTCTCCAGGCAAGAATACTGAAATGGGCTGCCATTTTCTCCTCCAGGGGATCTTCCCAACCTAGGGATCAAATCCACGTCTCCTGCATTGAAAGGCAGATTCTTTATCATTGAGCCCCCTGGAAAGCCCTTTTTAAAAGCACCCCCTTTAAAAAAAAGAAAAATGTGATTCTGATGTGCAGCTAAGATTGAGAAGCACCAAAGAGGATGACAGGGTGCCTCTCAAAACGTCTCCAGGAAAGAGCCAAACTGAGAAATATGTAATCATGGAAAGATAGTTCTTACAGGTGAGACTCTCAGCTTATTATAAGTGGAGAATGGATGATGCAGCAAGACAGGCAGTGCCAGGCAGAGACGGCTCCCAGGTCTGCAGCCAGCGGAAGAGCTCCACACACCTTTCACCTGCCTTCCTTGCACACTCACGTGCATGTCTGGAGTCCACATAGCCAGGCCCTCCAACAGGAAGCTCCACAGAGACCCTCCAACTGCACAGCCCCGGGGATGCTCAGCGGATTCTGGGGGCTTCCACCCAACAAGTTGCAGTGTTTGAAGAAGCACCTGCCCTGCCCTGAGTGGACCTTGCCTACGGTGGCCAACCTGACTGTGGACTGCACCCCACGACTGTGGACCTACTTCCAACTTTCTCCTTCCTTCCTCACTCCGTTCTACTCTTCTTTTTGTTTACTGCTTGGCTGTTTTTGCTTTTCTAATTTGTTCCTTGATATTTAGGGGTAATTTCTCAGGTTATCACCAACCTTTATCACCAACAACCCTCCCCGAACTGTCTCCCTAGTTTGTTGCTGTTGTTGTTCACTCAGTCGTGTCCAGTTCTTTGCAATCCCATGGACTGCATCATGCCAGGCTCCTCTGTTTTTCACTGTCTCCTGGAGTTTGCTCAAATTCATGTCCATTGAGTTGGTGATGTCATCCAACCATCTCATTCCCAGCATCAGGGTCTTTTCAAACGAGTCAGTTCTTCACATCAGGTGGCCAAAGTATTGGAGCTTCAGCTTCAGCATCAGTCCTTCCAATGAATATTCAGGGTTGATTTCCTTTAGGATTGACCGGTTTGGTCTCCTTGCAGTCCAAGGGACTCTCAAAGTCTTCACCAGCATCATAGTTCAGGAGCATCAATTCTTTGGCGCTCAGCCTTCTTTATGGTCCAACTTTCACATCCATACATGACTACTGGAAAAGCCATAGCTTTGACTAGATGGACCTTGGTTGGCAAAGTGATGTCTTTGCCTTTTAATATGCTGTCTAGGTTTGTCATAGCTTTCCTGCCAATGAGCAAGCATCCTGTAATTGAATGACTGTAGTCACTGTCTGCAACCTCCCTAGTTACTGGATCCTTTTGATCATGAGATGAGAAACACACAAGAGCAGGGTTGTCAGATGCTGAAAGTCACGAAATGTCTAAGGGAAGTCCCCACTCTCTTAGATCCCAACTAGAGTGGAAAGATGATTCAGCAAGTTCAAATGCAACATTCTAGAGAGCTGAAGTTTCTTAGACCAGCTCTCACATTCTTCTGCCCGAAGGGAACAAACACAGAACACTCTTAGACGTATACAGTACAACTGCTATTCTGGATCAACATTTCTAATTCAGTAACTTCCTATTCACAGATGGACTGCTAAGCTGACAAACCAATAACCGAAAATGAAGTCTCATGAGAGATAAGAAGCTAGATTTGGAAGGGATAATGCGAGAACAAATCAAGTGCTTCTAAATTCAGAGGTTTTCGTGGCAGAGTACCGAACAGCTTGGACTGAGTTCGAAGAATCCAAATAGTGAAACAAATAGGAATGAGTAAATAAACTTTAAATTAGAAAAACTCAATGCCTAAGAGTGTTCAGGCTGCAAGGAAGTACTCATCTCTGGACTCTAGTTTTGACTGAAAATGACCTTGTTAACAAGACATTGTTAGAGAATTTTAAGCTAAAATACCTCAGAGGAAAAAAGATAACATACTCCCTGCCTTGAGATGCCCCTTCAACAGTAGTAAGGTCACTCTATCTGATGTTTTCAGTCTGACTACTCATTAGTTCTGACACATAGACTCATTCATCACAGATGTTTGGGAACTTGGAGATCAAAAAGGATGTAGATTTGAACTCATTTTCCATGGTCAATCAGGTTCAATGAAAGATCACATAAAAAGCAGTTTCTGTCTTGGATGTTGTGTTCATTAAAAACTGAAGTGGATCCTGAATCTCTAAATATATTCATTCCATGTGGGATGGGAGGAAGTGGGGACATCCCAGTGTCCTTGCATGAGCTGCACTTTCATGTAGCCTCTCCTAGTCTCAGCTTATTTATCAGTAACATAACAAGAGTGTATAGAGCAAATATAAATATTTTATGAAATTTCTGCTTCCTAGGTCTGTGTCCCTTTTTCTTGAGGACACAGTCACTGATACAAAGGAGATGATAACCTCTGATATCAAATGGTAAATAGGGAGCCAAAAAAGAAATCCCAGAATACATCCTAGTTCTCTGTTACTTCTGGAAATGGGGTGACTGATGGTCACTGCTCCTAACATCCCCAGAAATTATTTCTCATGGCAGAATTAGTAATTTAATAGCGCTGGCAACACCTGAGAAGCTTAGCTGGTATAATGAAACCTATGCAACTAGCCAAGCTCTATTTGATTTTGAAATTCTAAACTGTGCACATTGACCTGCTGTACTTAGGGATTTGAAGAGAAGCAGTTTTCTAGTTTACTTCCTTTTTCCAGGAAAAGGGACTCTCTGTCTTCTAGAAAAGGGTCATCGACGTCAAACTTCAGGCTGTGTCTTGTCATACAGCCCTGCATAAGCCATGAGATCTGCCTGCCCACCCATCCATCCATCTAGGACATGTGGGCTGTTTTCAACCCTCCAATGACTGCTTGGGATCCAGCAACTAAACAAGAGATGCTACTCACTGCCCAATCAAGGGTCAGAATTGAGAATACTTCACAGTCCCCAGATGTACTCCAGCACATACAGGGTTTGTGGGTTATTAGCCTGGACTACAGAATCCACCACATCCACCTCCTATGTCTCTCTGGTGCCCTGAGGACTCAGTCAGCTGGTCATCGATGGACAGAAGGATAAGAGGCAATAAAGCGAGAGAAGGGCCAGAATCCAGAGACAAGAGCGGGAAGGCGTCACATCTAGGGCTCTGCACATAGACCGTGTGAATAACCTGTGCGAAGGGGGTTGCTCGAGGCAGTTCAGGGAGCGGGCAGAGCAGACCTTGGTGTCAGGGCCCCATGTCTGGAACTGACCGTGCATTACATGTTACACAAAAGGAAGATGCCAGTAAACAGGAGCCCAGTGGACTCCAGGGGCTGGAGTAAAGGAGAGAAAGATTTGGCAGGTGGCTCCACCACCGCTTAGAGAGGGAGACACGTACCCTAGAGCAATCTGGGCAGTACATCCGGGCCATTTCCACACGGGAGCAGGGATGCTTCCCAGGGCACACAATGTGAGCTACAGAAATCCAGCCTCAAGACTGGCCTCTGCTCTATGGACACTCTCAACATTTACCTCCGAGGATGCATCCTGGACTGTAGCTCCTTCCCACGGTTAGGGACCCTCCTTCCAGAGCCCCTAAGTCCTATTCCCCATGCACCCCTTTCCATGGAGAGTTCCGAGATTCACACCCACACACACCCCTGTGCAGTATGAAATCCATCCAGGGGGCGGACTCACGCACGTCAGTCATTCCGGAGCCACGCCCCCCGGACTGACCATCCTGCCTGCAGTCTTGGGGAGCCCAGACCCCATGGGGACTTGGTCCTCTCCAACTTACCAGCGAGGATCTGGAAGACCCCAGTGATGTAGAACCGGCCGCCCTTGGTGAGGGTGAAGAGCTGGCAGAAGAACAGGAACAGAGACAAAACGCTGAAGATGACGGACAGGATCATGGTGGCCTGGACAGACTGCAGCCATTCTAGGGGAGGAGACACGGGGTTAGGAAAAGGCAGCCCTGGCCAGCCAGGGGGGCGGGGCTCTGCCACGGGGCGTGGCCTGGGCAGCAGAAAGCCACACCCACCCCCAGGCAGGAACAGCTGCCCTCTTCTGAATGAAACTCAAGCTATTCACTTTCCCACTCTCAAAGCTCATTCTTTAGTTCATGCTTTCTTTTGGAGGAAAAAAAAAAAGAGGTATTAATACATGTTTAATTGTAGACATTCTAAGAAAAGGCTGTCTGAAAATACTCAGTCCCACCACAAGGAGCTAAAATCAAGTTAAAATATATTAAATTTCCTTCCAGTCTTTTAGCCAAATGAGTTACTTACACAAATATGCCTGTGTTCAAGGGGCTCTGAACCCTGCCCTCTGCCTCCTCTCTCTCTCTGTCCTCAGGGGGGTTGAAGGGCTTCTTGGAGCCCCTGGATTCTGAGAATAGTTACAAACCACCGTTCAAAATGTCAGCATCCCCCAAGGAGTCAGAGAGATCCTGGGGATGGCTGGGACGAAGAAAATGACGTTGGAGCCAAGACTAATTTTGCAGAAAGTTGGAAGACGATGCTGATGGGAAGAGTTTGCTTTATTTAGCTATGAACCACTCGCTCAGCCACACTGTGTCTGTTCCCAGCTCATCTCAGAGCAGTCAGTGCTCAGTCTGGTCATCAGATAGGAGCACAGATGACACTTCCTTATCTTAGCTGAACCACCAGCCTTCGATCAAATCTCCAAGTGTCCAACTGAAATTCAGGCAAGGAAGAGAACTCTGTAGTTCACCGTCTACTACAAATGAATGTCAATTCCAGAAGGAACCAACAAGAGGCAAAAACCTGGGTTTGGCATCAGAGACAGGAACCTACCAGGTTCCCCCTGGAGACCTCCAGGGTCCTTGTCATCCTTCCTTCCTGCCTCCCTCCTTCCAAGTGCCAAAGAATCCTGGGGGTGGGTGCTGCTCTAAATAATGAAGATCAGTTAGAGGAGACCCAGGGTCTGCTCCTCCACAGTCAGGAACAGACTAATGTGCAGTAACTTAGAAAAATACATGCCTATGCTTAGCACAGTAGAAAAAAGTGTGAAATCTGGATGGCTTATCATCAGTACCTCACGAAGATGACACTGGTTTGAGTTGCAAGTAGTTCATAGAAGAATTTTAAGGATGCTGATTAGGTCAACTGTGACTAGAGTTTCATGGAAGATTGGAAGAATCTTTTGGAAGCATTTTAGAGTTGGAAGAAGCCTGTGGGATCAGCTAACCGAGGCCCTTTGTACTGAGAGAAATTTCCGGAGATGTTCGAATGAGCCCCATTGGCATGGCCAAGGTTGGGAGGCCCTTGGTTCTAGTCTGGTGTTCTTTCTACCTTGATGGACCATATGCTTTTTTTAATCTTTGCAATTTCTTTGTCAATTAAGGTTAGAAAAGGATATCTAATGGGCTGTGAGCCATCCTGACTTCATTTTTATATCTCATTGAACCACTCTAACCAGTGTAGTTGGAGAAGGAAATGGCAACCGACTCCAGTATCCTTGCCTGGAGAATTCCATGGACAGAGGAGCCTGATGGGCTACAGTCCATGGGGTCGCAAAGAGTTGCACATGACTGAGTGACCTTCACTCTGAGCGACTATCACTCACTCACTCACTCACACCCAGTGCAGTGGTTCTTCTGGAGGAGCAGTCTGCAACAAAGCTACTGCCGCCATAATATTATCTTTTTACTATTTATTTTAATTTATTTATTTGGTTGCACTGGGATCTTCATTGCAGTATGTGGGATCTTCAGCTGCAGCACGTGGGATCTCGTTCCCTGTCCAAGGATCAAACCCAGGCATCCTGCATTGGGAGCATGGAGTCTTAGCCACTGGACCACCAGGGAAGTCTCTACATTTTGAATAAAGCAATTATCCAGCAGTCTGGTAGGTGAAGCTGGAAACATAAAGAAATCTGAGCCACAAAAATAAATCTAGAACTAAGTATAGAACTAAAACAGAGATCATGGGGAATGTCCTTCAAGGCACACCCTTAGAAGGTGCACAGTTGGTGCAGGCAACATCCTAGATTTCTTTCTCCAATTCTGTGGTCTTTTCCTTAGTCTCTACCTCCACTCTCATTAATAACAGAAACTTCTGCCAGGCCTCACATTTAGAGAAAACTCAAAATCATACAAGTTAAAACTACATCAATAGGAAAAGTCTCTTAAATTTAATAATGTCACTAAATTCTTCTCAAAACTTATTTTACCAGGAACTTGAATTTTAATGCCAACCTCATTACAACTGAGCTAATTTTCCATAAGTTAGTTCTCTAATCAAATCAGAGTTAAGGAATCAAGGAAGTTTTTATTCAGTGGGCCTTGGCTAAAAATCTACTGTTTTGAGCTCTGGGAATACGAAGTTGAAGAAGAAAGTTTTCAACCTGAAGCACAATAAATTACACACATACATGATGAAAGTAGGATAAATTCAACTATATTATCAGTCACAGTAATGTAAATCATTATAAGATGTAGAATTCCATCCTGAATTATGTAATTCCTATCTAGAGTCTGATAAGAGAGATATACCTAAAACCAACAATAGCTAAAACGTTTTTTAAAAGAGGCACCAGACAAATATTAACAAAAAGATATAGTAATAATAGCATCAGACAACTGGAATTCAAACTGAAAAAGATGAAGATGGCCAAAGAGGGGTATTTCATAGGATATTTCATGGTATGTCCAGTTTATCATAAAGAAACAAAATTCATAAACCTCTGTGCACAGTGTGACCTGGAAAAAATATAAAGCAACAAATGACTGAAGTATAAGATGAAACTGATACAGCTACAAGCACAGTGGGAGACTTCAGCATATCTCTCTCAGAATAGGTAAATCAAGTAGATCAAAAATATGATAAGATATACATTATTTTATGTCTCTATAGTGATGATGATAAAATCTTCAAACACACATGGGATAGTCTTACCAACTATGCAGTAGGCAACAACAAAAAAACTCAATAAATCTCAAAAGAAAGCACACAGGATGTAAATATAACTAAAGAAAAACAGAAAGTAGAAATTCAAAACAAACCAGCCAAAATAAATTTGGAAATGTTAAAAGACTATTCCAGATAATCCCTTGGATAAAGAAACCAAGATGAGAAGTAAACTTTTCTTCAGCAAGGAATTCTACTGACAGTATGTACCTTAAACCTACAGGCTGTGGCCCCAGCCAGACTAGGCCATGTGCTCCATCAAAACAGGCCTGGGTACCCCCTGCTTAACTGGCTAACAAGAGGGACCAACTACCTCAGAGGACTGTAATGATCAAATAAGAATGTTGATATAAAAGCTCTGTACAATACAAATAGCCCCATTAAAAGGCTGAGCTCAGGAGCAGAGTAAATTAGTCGCTGTAGGCTATGGTGGAGGGTGGGGAGGGGGTCCTTAGGATATCTTTATCTGTGCCACACCAAGGAATAAGGTGGACAGCTGTGTCCATATAAGCCATTATAGGGTGCCAACCGGAATGCCACTTGAGAGCAGAGCCCATTTCAATACAATTCTGATACCAGTTCCTATGAGAGCTTCAGCACAGAGGTTGGCAAATTATCTGTGAAGGGTCAAACTATAAATAGTTTAGGCTTCTCAGGTCATATGGTTTCCACGGCAACTGCTAAAGTTTGCCATCTTAGCACAAAATCAGCCTCGTTCAATATGTAAATGAGTGGGTGTGGCCTGTTCACCTTAACAAAATCTTATCTACACAATCAGGCAGTGGACCCAACTGGATCTGCAGGCCATTGCTTGCCAACCTCTGTTGATGTTGTTCAGTTACTAAGTCATGTCCAACTTTGTGACCCCCTGCAGCACACCAAGCTTCCCTATTCTTCACTGTCTCCCAGAGTTTGCTCAAATTCATGTCCACTGAGTCAGCGATGCCATCCAACCATCTCACCCTCTGCTACCCTCTTCTCTTTCTGCCTTCAATCGTTCCCAGCATCAGGGTCTTTTCCAATGAGTCGGCTCTTTGCATCAGACGCCAACCTCTGCTATAGCCAAATACATCCAGTGTACGGAAAGCAGTGATTAGAGTGGAGAGACTGGGATGCAGAGGAAAATGCTGTCCACTGCAGTCCTGTTTTATACAAAGTCAAATTAATGTGAGGCCAACAGGCCAGGTGGCAAATCTGAACTTCTACCCAAGCCCCAGGCCAGTGATACTCTATTCTCTCAAATTGCAAGTTCAGGGTCATTAGCAGAGCCCATGACCAGCACCCACGGTCATTCTCCAGGCCTTGCTCAGTGCCTGGCAACTATCTGTGGAATGCCCAGTGACAGCATTTTAACCTCCAACGTTGGTGCCAAGCCTGGGAATTAAAAACCCCCGAATTCCTCGCAGACCTGCTGTTCTGACGAGCCTGTCAGGTAATAGCGTTGCTGACAGCTTTCTGACGTGGGCTAGTCTGTGGCGGCCAGCAGAGACCTGCTCCCCACCACAGAAGGGAAAGCTGGAGATGCCCAATGACCAAAGGTCAGATTCCTACCACCGCAGCAGCTAAGCTATGAAGGAAATACATCTGCCCCCTCAGCTGTATTCTTAGCCCAGGGCCAACAAGCCGGCAAGCGAAGGGCTCAGGGAGGCTGCAACCCTCTTCAATGCACCAGCCCCTCTGCGTCCTTCTGCCTCCTTTCCTCCCAGCCTAGAGCCACACCCAAGTGCCTGCCCCACCCCCAACCTCAAGTCCCACTCTGGCAATTCACAAAAGCTCTCTGACTCCATCAAGAGTGAAAGGAAGGGCAGTGGCAGTTGAGTCAGAGCATGAACCGGGGAGGCCAAGCCAGGAGGAAGAAGCCATTGGGGTGAATCACCACTGGGGGAATGAGAGCCGCCCTTGTCCAGAATGCTGGGCCATCTTCAAAGCAGCTGACCCACCCGCTAACCTCCTTACCCACTGTTGTTGTTATTGTTGTTGTTTTGTCTCTCAGTTGTGTCTGGCTCTT